AGCTCTTATTGAGGCTTTACAGTAACCATTTAATTTTTATATAGGTATACAATAAAATAAATACCACTACATTCTTATTTGTTATTAAAATTATACAGCAAATGTAATAGTATTAGAAAGTAAATACATTTTATTTGTTTCAATCTGTAACTTGATAGTTAATTTAAAAACTTTATCCAGGTGTATAATTTATTATAGAATATAATTAAATAATCTCAATTGTATTGATTACTAAAAAAAATCAAATATATTAATAGGTACACAGTGGAATTTGAAATGGGGGCTTGTGGATAATTTGTGGAAACATTTTTAGGGGTGCTATCAGTGCACAAAAAAACGGCTATGTAATAAACGGTCAATGGGGGGAATGGGGCTTATATTAAAAATTTTTCTAAAACTACTAAAAAAGCATTAATTTTGTGCTCTTAATAGATATTTTCAATATTTAAGTTACAACATAGTAAAATAAACTAATATTTATAATGAAAAGTACAATAGGTGTAAGTATGCCAACTTGGCGTTACAATTGTACCATCAAAATGAAAAAACAAGATGATGTGTCTATGCATATTACACTATTGGACTGTAAAGTGTAAACCTGCCTTGGAGTAATAATAACAATAATAAATCTACACTAACAAAATTAATAATTCACTTTGCCACCAAAAATACTATTTTATTTAACTTTAATAATTATAAATGTATTTCCTTTTGTTATAATTAGATGGCATATAATGATATAAGATTATAGAAAATATCAGCTTAGATATACAGTTATTAGCTAGGTACCTATATAATTAATAGTTATAATAGTATCTAATTTAAACAATTTGTTTACAAATTAAAAAATTGAAAAGCAATACATTGTTATTGATTACATTTTTCCTTTTATATAAAACACTTAAAACTATAAAATATCAATTTATACAATTACTTCAAAATAATATTGTATTGTTGATTGGTCAATGAAAATATTTTAGTTAAAATTACTTAGTATTTGTACTTATTGAAAATCATTTGCCCCTCAATTTGAACTAAATTGTTTTAAATTTGACATGAAAATTAATCTTAAACATTTTAAAGATTTTAATAATAGTAAACAAAATAGAGGAATATGAGATACCTGGTTGGCTATTGGCTATATCTTATAAAAATACAATGATTTATGGACAGAAAAGATTTGTTATATCTACTTAACATTAAATACACATTTTATCAAGCTTTTAATTTTTGATAATAAAAAATAATTATATTTAATACAGTCTGTGTTATATAAAATTCAAAATCTATATTGTTTAATTAATCTATAAGTTTTATTTAATTCAGATCAATTTGTAGGTATTTATAATTATAAGAGACATTCAATAAGTACTTATACATATTATAGCAAATCATTTGTTCGATCCCATAAGTTATTGTTATTAATTTATTATATAATATTTATATGATGATATTGTTTTAAATTTATGATGTGTGGTAAATTATGTTTTATTTATTTGTTTATTTAACGCCAATTGGCAATTCAAAGAGATACAATACAACTTATATACAGAAAAATTATAGTAATAATAGTGATAAAGTAATCTTATAAAAAAAACAAAGGTGAAACACAATAATTCATAGTGCAATCTAACTTATTATTTAGTAAAATTATAATCATTACATGCTAGTGAATAATACAACTAAAAACTAACTAACTTAAGTTAATAGGTATATAAATTCAAAATATCATTATCTATAGGAGTTTTAATGTAAATTTAACAAATTGAGCAAAAACAAAACATTTATAAATTGAAGCATTGTATTTTACTCTTATATTAATTGGTCAACACTCATTTAAGTACTTATTATATTAAATAAATCAATAATATTTAGAAGTTGCACAGTATCGTTACTTATAGTTATTCTATAAAGCAGTATCGGATCCAGCCGATCCCGGGCTTAATTTTGGGTGTGAAAAAGTACAAAAAGTTCCAAAATTGGCTAAACCCAGTATAAAACAAAGGAAAACTACAGTGATTGGGGGGAGCAAATGCCCCCTTTGCCTCCCCCTTGGATCCGCCACTGCTATAAAGTTTGTTGTGATTGCAATAAATGTTGATAACATAAACAGTTAATAAACAGTATAACAAAACATGTTAATAGTGGTTTAAAAGTCTCTGTTTTTCTCTACTTAATATTTTAAACAATAATTTATTATACCATTTCATAGTACCAATTAGATTTACTTTTCAAAAGATGATAAATACATGGAAATAAGTTAAATAATAATTCTTATATTTATTATTATTACTTATTTATAATTTGTTCTTGTAGCTTTCAGATTGCTTCAACAGCAATTTGTTATTACTATTGTACATTTGTACCTAACCTACCTATTTAGTTATTAAAGGTATATTATGTTCAAAATATAACCAACACTCACGGACCACGTCAGTTGAATTGAAATGTTTGAAATACAATAAAGTAAGTCATCAAAGTCACTTATCGTGAGAAACTAGTGACTGAGAAGTGAGAAGTGAGAAGAGTTTTTGTTTGCTGAGTAAAAAATGTCAACGAGTACCTACGTAAGTATTATTGTATTATGACATTGTGTGAACATTTCAGTAGCCAGCTCTTGACGCAAATATAATTTCATGCCATATATTTTTTTATTTTAGCACACTGGAATGGCGACACGACACCATTATACCAGTGTCCAGTAATAATCTGTACACGTATATAGAGGAGGCGACTGCTAAGTCGATTTCCAGGTGACGGATAAAATTTTGGCTGCCACGTGACAAATTTTATTTCTAACAACAGGTAGGAATAATATAAAACAAATACAAATATAATATTACGTCTAAATATAGATAATTTAAATCCCCCTCCCATAAACACATACATACACAAACCACTCTCGTCATCATTGCGTTCCCTTGACCCAATTGCCGGTCGACGACGTACAATTTTATATTTTATTTTTTTTTTTTTGCATACTTATTTCCCTCCCCCTTCCACCCCTTGACGACCCCCTGAAATTCGAGTCTCGCGTCACACGCACTCACGCACAAGGGGGAAGGCTCAGCCAGGTTTCGCGTAACCCGTATTCCGCTTTCCACCCGTAATTATTTGCACAACCGTCTAGGTATTACCTATTTACCTGTACGGCTGTCGGCTGTACTAGTACTATTATTATTATTATTATTATTATTATTATTATTATATAGTTACTAGTTACTAGTTAGTACTCGTCGTTACTAATACTATAATACTATATTACTACTACAACTACAGTACCACTATCGTTTTACTATTAACGTAGTACGCCAGTACGCGCGATAAATAATAATTACGCGGCGCGCGCACGTTTTATTTCCCATGTTATTATACCGCGCTCTCGGTACAATAAAATCGAAACGTTGCCAGTTCGACTGACGACTATGACCGCGTTCGTTTCGGCGAAAAAATAGTAGGTAGGACTTGGCGAGCGGAGTAGTAAGTTGTACCTTGCTGGTATAGCGACGGTGATCGCAACGTAGCACACGGCGGCCGTGCACATAATAGTATTATTATTGTAGTGGTTGGTAATAACGCCGTACGATCGCCATTTTATTTCCTATCTGGCTATCTGTGTGGCGACGGTCGTACTCGTAGAAAAAAGGGGCGATCGTTGACTTGAATTAAATATACTTAATATTATTAGCCGTTAGTCGTTACTGTAAACAGACAGGCTTGAACGGCAGGCGTGAGAGAGAGGGAAAAACAACAGTGAGAAAATTTCAATTTGACTCGTAAAACATAATAATATAATAATAATATAGCGTAAATTATTATATTGTTGTTGTCGTCGTTGTGTACTCGTGTGGCCCGCGTGGGCGACGTTTACACCGCGCGACACACGCCGAACCCGTATGGTTATTATACGTATATAGGTACATACTACATCATATTTTATATAATATTATTATAAGGCCGCCGCCGGGACGGACAACGTGCGCGCGCGTAAAAAAACCACGCAACACACGCACCACACGCGCGCGCGCGGCAAATTACACACAAAAGTGAAACGAGTGTTGTCCGCCGAGTTTTGCCGCGCACGCTCTCCCCGACCACCCCGTCCACGTTTGAGTGAGTGTGTGTGTGTGTGTGTGTGTGTGTGTGTGCGTGCGAGTTGCCCGCCGCCACCGTCGTGGTCGTCGCCGGCCGCCGTGCCGTCACCGTCGCGGTCGTCGTCGTTAGAATCGTATGCACACGACTCGATACGGCCGCCGCCAGACGCCACGCCCACCCGGTGGACTTGTACGCGTCGGATTGGACGGCGGCCCGGACACGTGAGCAACCGCCAGCGTGCAGCGCCCGGGCCCCGCCGCCGATCATTTCGGCTCGCGAAAATCCTACGCGCACCACGTCGCCCGCCGCGCACCCGGCACCGCACAGCCAGTAGCCTCAGCGGCACAGCGACGACCGACCTGTGGGCACGTTATTAGCGGTTATTATTTAATTTTTTTTCGTTTTTTAGTTTTCAATAAAGCGCTCGGGTTTTTAATTTTTCGTTATCGTTGTTGTTATTATTTTTATTATTAATTATTATTATTATTATTATTATTATTATTGTTATTATTTTAAAAATTTGCGATTCAAAAATAATCGTCTCTCGCCCGGGTGTACCAAAGACTTCGTTGACGTGTGTGTCGCCGCCGCTCGCTCACGAATAAACCACTGTCACCGGTATATACACCTGGAATAAATCTCTCGACCGTTCCCGTCGCGCGACACGAGTAGGAAAAATTCCAAAAGCCCGTCGTCGTCTGCGTGACGTATACGATCGGTCTCCCGCGTCGCCAGCGGTTCGCGCGCGTCACACTCAACGGCATGAAGCGACCGCGGCGATCGTGACTCGGCACGGCAGGGCGTCTCGCGATTGTGTAAATGGTGTTTGCGTCCAGGGTACTGTGATATGTTTGCTGTTGACACGTGGACGACGACGACGGAGGAGGTGGCTTGCCCGGGCCAGCATGAGCATGAGATGCGGGCTACAGACACTGCTTGAGGCTGCCCGATTCGTCGAGTTACAGGAAGAGTTCGAAAAACAACAGTTGGTCACCTTACACGCAGCCGGTAACGATTACACTTTACCCATATTCTAGATCCACAGTATCTTACGATGTAAAATTATAATAAAAAAACCTTTTTTTAATATCACCGACACTCAACAACAACCCCCTCTACGAATAGGTATTGTTGAAAAATTATTTATCTCGTTTTTCCCCGCAACGATAAATGTACGTGTTTTTCTTTCACATCTGACTTCTCCTCGGTGGCGTTACTCGTGCTCTCGCCGTGCGTTTTACGGTGTACAACGGTGCACGAGCACGACGAAAGTCTAAGGTAATTGAGGGGGGCGAGGGGGCGATGCGCATTTCGTGCCGGTCTGAGGGTTGGCCTGGCGCGGACGCGGAGGTGTGGAGTCCGTGGGTCCCCGTTGGTGGGGGAGGGTAGGGGGGCAACGAAGATTCCGTGAACGGATAGAGAGCGGGCGTGGCAGGGCGCACACTGTATTTGTGGAATGACCTTCGTTGTCCTCTCTCTCGCAACGTGCGACGCGATACGGTGGTCGTCGGTCGGTCGCTGCTGCCGTTGTCGACTATCGTCGTCATTGCCGCGGTGGCCGCGGTTGCCAGAGCGTGGAGATTCCTGTGTGCCTGCCCGAAGACGCCGCACGCCAGTCCGGTGTCGCGAAGGTCACGTGCTGCGGGAAAACTCGCCCTCTCCCCGCCGGCAAGCCTCTCTGACTATTATACAACGTGCGCGTGTGCATGTAAACATTTGCCACATGGCTCCCCCCACTCTTCGCCACGCTGCCTGTCCGACACTCGCCCCTCGCTAGCTTTCCTCTTCCCGTTGAAAATTTTTTTTCATTTATTAATTTCAATTATTACTCGTAATTCTAATATTGCGTGCAGTTCGGAACATTATTATGCGCGGTTCATTGTAGTGTGTTTTTTAGCCGCGGTGTTGGCCATCCTGTTGGTAGCACACGGTCGACCACGTGGAGTTTGCTGCCTGGCAGTGTCCGTCGTCGTCAATGCGATTTTATTATTATTATTATACCACGGGGCCTCTCTCCGACCACCACCCACCTCCTACGACGTTTGTTCGTTTTGGACGTGCGTGTGTATACACACTGTGATGCGAGATCGATTCGAAATGGGAACGTATTTGTAACACAACGACTGTATTTTCAGTTTTACGTGTTTGTTTCTTCTCATAAAGTGTGTGTGTGTGTGTGTGTGTGTGTGTGTTGTACACTTGTACGTAATTATTGTAGGTAGGTGGTCACCCACCACATCGAACACTCCACCCTAGGAACCTAGGTGTAATACGTATAGACGTGTAATAGCCAATATTGATGTCGAAATCTACCATCTACGTGTCTCTGTCTGAAAATAGTAACGAGGATAATATATAATATATATATTATATTTCTGTTACACGGATATTTTTCTTTCTCTCGGCGAACGCGATTATAGTTTATAATAATATTACTACATGTCTACGAATTTGCAAAAGTGAAAGCGCGAACTCTGGTTCCCGCAACACCAACTAATTGGTTCCTAATTTTCCAGCATGCTTTCTCAGCTTGGTTGGCGAACCTGGGTTTCCCTAGCTTGCGTTTCCCCCTTTTTCAATGCACACTCGTGGGGAGCCGATGCTATTTCGACTACTGTGACCAATATCGTTGTCTCTGCTGCAATTATTTCTACCCGGTTAATCGTTGTTTTCCACGTTCCCCTCGGTCATTCGCCGGTAATGCCGCCAACGCCGGTGAACTGGCCATAGGTGGAATCGAGAAAAACGCAGTACTTGTAATGTGCCAGGATCGACCGAGAACGGTCAAAAACTTTCGGTTATGTCCGACTCATCCGATTAGGATTTCCGAACGCTAATCCCATTAAATGCGACAATGTTGATACTATGAAGTAGACATTAAAACATGAAAATAATATTACTTACCCGTACCTATATTATTATACTACCGCGTATGAGCAGCGTTTAGGAGGATGTCTACTCACTATTTGTTTTCTTTCTGACCCACAACCACTCGTAGCTAATTAACGTTTAGCAGAACTATCAATGTCCCCGTGTCATTACTTTTAACATTTGAGTGAGTGAATTCATCTATAATCAAACTTTAAGTTAGGAACATTGTTTTCCTGTGTTTCTTTGTTGGCTGTTTAATGTTTAATTTTTATTTTTATGTAAGTTAACGGGCGTGTAAATTATTACAATTTAACAATTTAAAAAAGCTTATAATTAATAAATTGTGTAAACATTAAAATATCCTATAAAATCCAACTTACGGACACTACAGGTAATGTCCTTTGCTTAAAGTTTGATAATAAGCGAATTCACTCATATTAAAAGTAACAGGGGGTTGGTTCTGCCAAATATAAACTTTTGAGTGGGGGCCAGAGAGAGAAAATAAATGGCGCGCTGACATCCTCTTAAGTCTTAATTGTAATAATTGTGTATGCCATATGCTGTATTAATTGTTGTATAAAATGCTATTAAATCATCGCTTATCAGTATCCGATTACCATAAATGCATACACGCGTTATTATTAATATATCTACAAAATTTAGTTTTATAGGTAACAATGAGGGGAATAAGACTAATTGCTACTCAAATATTGCTATCGTTATTTTTACTATTTAACTCTTTTTACTCTTTCGTTGTATTATTATTTCGTTATATTATTATAAAGTATTAACTACCTATATTAATCGTTCATAAATTGTCCACTGGGTAAGAGACACGTGCACTGAGCAGTGGCCACTGGCCAGTGAGCACAATAATTTATAATTATTATAAAATTCGACTTTATATTTATAATATTTATTATTTACCTCTGGGTATGTTTGCTTTTTGCGTTTTTATTCTTATGTTTGCAACTTATAAATAGTAATAAATGTATTTCTAAAAACCAAACAATGTAGGTACCACATTATAAAAGTTCGTTTTTATAGGTACTATTTTTATTAATATTGTAGCCAGTTTTTTATTTAATCCATTTTATGGATGTTTTATAATATTATTTGACCGTTGCCTCGTTAAGTGACGAGAGTGTGAGTTGCCGAAGTATCAAACTATAAGCATTAGTGTTTATTGATTAGTTTGCATTTTTTTTTCATGTTAAAAATTATTTATTTGCTCAAATTTTAAAACTTGTAAGCCCATAGGCCATAACTAGTAGATACCTATATTTTATTTTTTCATTATAAAATAAATATTATGTTGAAAGTTAGTAATGTGTAGACTTCTTCTTTAGTCTAATTCATTTCATTACTCTTCCGTTTTTTAAATTCTGATCAATGCAAGGAACTGATTTTAATTCGATATTTTTCAACACTTATTTTTGCCTAATAAAAGCGTTCAAACATTTTATTTACACAATCTCTTTGAATATTTTATTTTTAGATCATTTTTCCTAATAATTATTATATTGTTAAAAAGTACATTTTTTTTACAAAATGTCTCTTTATAATGCAATTTTCAACAATGGCAGTATTTATTTATTTTGTACATTATTCTATGAGAACCTTGAAAGCATGAATTACTTAATCAATTTATTCATGTATTTATATTACTAATTAATTTTGATACCAATTTGTGAGTTTAGTCATAACATATTAGGTTGTTGTAACATAGGTGTTTAGGTATTTATTATATCCCCTTAATATGATATCCTGTATAATACTGAAATGTTGAAAATAAGCTTAAAAAAAATGTAGCTAATATTACTTGTCGTTCCTTCGTATTGTACCTAATATGGTACCTACCTGTTACTAAATTTGTTTGTAATCAATGTTTTTAAATCGTAATTAAAATTAACTGTAAGTAAACCCATATAATATGATACATGTTACATGTATGATAATAATATATACCTATACACAATATTATTAAAGGCAAATAAATTAACAACAATTTACGTACAACAGAAATGATATAATTAACATTTAATGATTTATTTAGATTTTGAAATCATAAAAAAAAGTACAAATTAACAAATATTATATATTATAAAATATGACAAACAAATTAGCATAATATACATCAAGACTACTATCTAGTATAGTGTACGCTATGGATAATTTTAATGTCGTACACCGTGGTATCCTAACAGGCAACTACAGCCTAACCGCTTCGGGCATCTATAGCCATTAAAAATATAAATGTTAGAGCCTAGGATCCATTGTTTGTTAGTAAGACAGAAACTGAGCTATAGACGAGAGTAGATATAACAAATTATATACTGATAATAATTTAGTTTAATTTTTTTTATGTTTATAAAGCTAATGTTGTTAAAAAATTGTTATAATTGTTCGGTCGATATCAGGTCTTAATATTTTAATGTGAAGTAGGTTCTGTGATCTTTGACATTAATCATCCAAATGATAGTGAAAAGAAATAAAGCAGTTATTTTTTTAAACAATTAACATTTGATGAACTTCGAATTGTTTTTATTATTCATACCAATATAAATAATGATACATTATTTATTTTACAATCAATCAATAATTTAGTATTTATAAATAGTCAACGTAATAGTCAGCGAACTAATGTCTAAACATGGATCTATTGTGCATTTTACAGATTAGTATTTACTTTTAATCTGTTAGTGAGTAATCCATAATTCATATTATATATTATATTACATACTGTGATGACATTAATATTAAACATTATTATTAACATTAATTCAGTTACACTTATTATTATTTATTCCTCGTTTTATTCATTCTGTAAAAAATTAACTGTGAAATTAACTATAGAAAATTACTTATTCATAATTATAAAGCATAAATGTAATACTTAAGTACTTAAATATATCATTAAAATGTATGATTTAAATTTTTTAATATTTGTTCGATCAATAATTTCGGAAAATGTCAAATTATTTCTTTGTATATTTCTCGTATAAGGATATGTGTTTTTCGTTTACAATAATCGTAAACTGTTAATACAAATACTTAGGTGTGTTTTAATTTTAAATTCTTAAATATATTTTTTTGGCTTCATTTTTGAAAAGTAGATGTGTACACGATTTTATTTTACTACATAATTTACTAAAACAATTTCTGTGCATAGGGCCTAAAATATTCTGTAGTACCTATAGGATATATGTATACAATAGTATTTACTACTGAATTTTAAGACATCATTAAAAAATATATTTGAGTAATTTAATTATAATAAATTGTAATTATCCACCATTAATTATTTTATTTTAGTCAGGGTTATTTTTCAGTACAAAAATTGAATATTACCTAATTATTTATTATTCTTTTTTTAATTAATCAATAGAAACCAATTTATTAAGTTTATTTATAATGTTTTACATCAATACATTTTAAAATATATTATAGAATTAAAATTGGGTGTTTTATCATATATTAATATTTATTATGTATTCAATTTGGCCTATGAGAAATTCTATTTAGAATGCATATTAAATAATATGTTCTAACTTAATATTTATATTTCTGAAGTACTTATTCTAATATAGGTACTATATAAATATAAATATTTAATACTTCATTTAAAATTTCACATTTCTTAATTATTCATATTATTTATGTAGTACAAATTAAT